GCTCCCCTTGTCCTTGAGGATGTACAAGGCCACCGGGTTTTTGCGGTCGTGCTCGCCGCTCCGTGCGATGCCCTCAGCTGTGTGGGAGCAAGACGTTGCTTACCGTGCAACGTTGGTGTCCCCCAACCCGCCGCCGCCGCTCCAGGGCTGGCACTCACCCTCGTGCTTCAGGCGCTCCTCATCCTGCTCGGGGTATTCGGAGGCCGGTTGCGTCTCCGCTTGCCTCTTCTCCCTGGGGAAGGGAAAGGGGATGGGGAAGCTCCGGCACCGTGGTGGGGGCAGCGGGGGACTGCCTGCGGCTCAGCCAGGGAGGGGCCCAGGGCTCTGGTGAGGGAGAGATGGGATGGGGTAGGGTGGGGTGGGATGGGATGGGACAAGATGGGATGGGATGGGGTAGGGTGGGGTGGAATGGAACAAGATGGGATGGCATGGCATGGCATGGCATGGCATGGCATGGCATGGCATGGGCCAAGACAGGATGGGATTGGTCAAGATGTGTCAAGATGGGATGGGATGGGGTAAGATGGGATGGGATGGGATGGGATGAGACAGGACAGATGGGTCAAGACAGGATGGGATGGGATGGGATGGGATGGGATGGTCTGGGATGGTCCAGGATGGGATGGGATGGGATGGGATGGTCCGGGATGGGATGGGACAAGACAGGATGGGACAAGAAGGGACAGGATAAGAGGACCCCCCTTCAGCTCCCGCGTTGCCCCCAGCCGTACTTCTTGGAGGGTTTCCAGCAGGCACAAACAGTCACCAGGGTGACGAGGAGGAAGATGCCGCCCGTGGAGAGGATGATGTAGAGGGAGCTCCGGCCTGATGGAGAAGAATAAGGGGGGACAACCCCCCCCAAATTTTAGCTGGGAGCATCTGCAAGGGCTCTCCAGCCCCAGGGGTGCGGGAGGGGGCTTACGGTAAACGGTGAGCTTCACAGGGATGCTGCGGCCGTGGCTGATGGGGTTCTCCACCAGGCAGCTGTAGACATCGTCGTCAGCCATGAGGACGCGGGTGATGGTGAGGATCTTCTGGTCGGGGGAGAGGAGCAGGCGGGAGTCGTTGCTCAGCGGCCGCCCGTCCTTCAGCCAGGTGTAGGTGGGCTTGGTGCCGTTCTCGTGCGAGCAGTTGAGGGTGAAAAACTCGCTGAGCTCCAGCACCGTCGAGGAGGCCACCAGGACTTGTGGCTTTGAGATGGGGACTGCAGGCGAGCAGGGGAACCATGGTGATGCTGTGTCTTGGGGGATGGGTGGGCCCAGGGGATGGGAAGGGGGCCATCAAAACCCCACCGGGGATGTAGCTTGGCTGCATGGGATGATTGAACCCCAGAAACCACCTCCCAGGTGCAGGAAGCCCTCCCAAAAAGTGGTTGGGGAAGACATCCCATGGAGAACCCAATCTCCACTGGACGTCATTCTTGCGCTTACTGTCCACGGTGAGGTTGATGGTCTTCTCGCCGGTGAAGGTGTCGTCGGTGATGGACACCTCCACTTCGTAAGCGCCTTCATCAGCCAGCTGCAAGGGGCTGATGAGCAGCGATCCGTTCTCCAGCACCCGGATGCGGTCACGGTAATCAGGCCGTAGGTTGCCGATGATCTCGGTGCCAATGGACTGGACGACGGTGACGGGTTTGTCACGCTTCAGCTGCCACTTGACCACCGGCTTGTCGGCGCTGGCACTGGTGTAGCGCACCGACAGCAGCGCCGCTTTGCCCGCCGTGCCGCGCACCAGCGGCGTGGGGCTGGTGATGTTCACCCCCGCCAGCAGACCTTGGGGTGGGGAGAGACAGCGGGGCACCGAGTCCGGGCAGGCTGCCTGGTCCTCCGAGCCCGGAGAAAAAGGGGGAACCCCCTCCCGGAGCTGTGCTGAGCACCCCCAAAATGCATCAGCAGCGCGGGGATGCCCAACCATTGTGTAAGCGTGCTGTTTGCATAGCCCTTTGCAAAGATGCATGCATCCCCCCAAAAATGCATGGGGGTGGGAGCCCTGCTGCAGCCAGCTTGGTGCAACTCTCTGCAAAGATGCATGCAGAACCCCCAAAATTGCATGGGGATGGGAGCCCTGCTGCACCCAGGTCAATGCAATGCTTTGCAAAAATGCATTTATTACCCCCAAAAACTGCAGGGGGCGGTGCGGGACTGCTCCTGTGTCCAGGTTGATGCAAGCCTTTGCAAAATGCATGCAGCACACCCAAAAGTGCATTGGGAGTGGGAAGCGGGTCAATGCAACCCGTTGCAAAGACGCATGCAGCATCCTCAAAATTGCATGGGGGGTGGGAGCACTCCTGCGGCCGGGTCGATGCAACCCTTTGCAAAATGCGTGCATCATCCCCCAAAAATGCATGGGGGGCGGGAGCCCTCCTGTGGCCGGCTCGATGCAATGCTTTGCAAAAATGCATGCATGGCCCCCAAAAACTGCACGGAAGGGTGGGAGTGCTGCTGCAGGCAGGTTGGTGCAACTCTCTGCAAAGATGCATGCGGCACTCCCAAAAACTGCAGTGCGGGGTGGGAGTGCTCCTCCGTCCAGGTTGTTGCAACCCTTTGCAAAATGCATGCGGCACCCCTAAAAGTGCATTGGGCGTGGGAAGTGGGTCAATGCAATCCTTTGCAAAGATGCATGCATCATCCCCCCAAAATTGCACGGGGGGTGGGAGCCCTCCTGTGTCTGGCTCAATGCAGTGCTTTGCAAAAATGCATGCATGGCCCCCAAAAACTGCACGGGAGGGTGGGAGCGCTGCTGCAGGCAGGTTGGTGCAACTCTCTGCAAAGATGCATGCAGCACCCCCAAAAAAAGTGCATCGGGGGTGAGACCCCTCCTGCACCCAGGTCAATGCAGTGCTTTGCAAAGATGCATGCATCCCCCCCAAACTGCAGCGGGGGGGTGGGCGTGCTCCTCCGTCCAGGTTGTTGCAACCCTTTGCAAAGATGCCTGCAGCACCCCCAAAATTGCATGGGGATGGGAGCCCTCCTGTGCCCGAGTCCGTGCAAAGCTTTGCAAAGATGCATGCATCGCCCCCAAAAATTGCAGGGGGGCGGGCGGATTTTTGCATCCCACCCCCAGCCCTGTTGGATGCTCCGGTCCAGGCAACCCCCCTGCCAAATGCAAAACTGCATCACGGGGCTCGGTGCACGTGCATCGCTTTTTGTCCCTGGTTTTAAGCCAAAAAGGGCAGGGAAAATGTGTAAAAAAATTCTTTTTTGAGGGGGGACTCCCCAAACCAGCCTTTCTCCCTGCAACACCGTAGCCTCACGCCCCCCCTTGCCCACCCGGGGTCCCATCCGCGAACCCCCCATCCGGATGCCGTCATCCGACAGCGAACAAACCCCATATTGAAGAGGGGGGAGAGTGGGAAAAGCAGCTGGGGAGGGCGAAGCGGGAGCAAGAAAGGCTTTAAACAAGGCCAAAAAGTCATGGGACCTATTGGTATGCAGCGTCCGTCCGTCCGTCCTCCCGGGCAGCGCAGCGCTCGGCCCCGAAAACAAGACCCAACCCGGAAAATTTAGGGAACCCCCATGGGAAAAACTCAGGCACTGGATGGAGCTGCAGCTTTTAATGCATCCTTGCACCCAGGGCACCCCCAAATTGCCGCTTTTTAACCATTTCTTCCCTTTTTTAACCCAATTGCTCTTTATTTTTCTCCACTCCGGGTCATAAATTTGGGAGTTAATTCATAAATCCGGCGATATTCCCATCTCCTGCAGCATCCCTGGCGTAGGGGTGGAGATCTCCCACTCCTCCTGGCTGGCTCTTGCTGACACCCCCCCCACCCCCAATCCTCATTTTCCCACTATTTTGCCGAATAAATCCCTATTTCTTTGGGAAAAGCACAGCAGCATTTTTGGGGTGCCCTGCCTGCGGCCCTGGCGCTTTTTTTAGGGTGCAAAGCAAAGCCAGCGGCGTGCAAAACTGCCTGGCTTGGCTCTGCACCCTCGGCTCATCCAGAGGGAATTGGGGCCTCCCCGGGGCTGGTTTTGGGTCCAAACTTGGGTAAAATGGTGCAAAATTGTTGCAGGGGATTTTTTCCGCCTCGCCAGAGCCGGGATGGGGCGGTGTGGGGCTCATCGAATCCCCAAATGCGAGTATTTAGGGAATAAATGATGGATGCAACCGGCTGGGGCAAACAGGAGGGAACCTAGAAACGGGGTGAAAAATGGGCTTTTTGGGAAAGCTGAAGGATGGGTACGAAAACAGATTCTGGGGTGCTGAAAAAAGAGCCAAAAAGGAGTTTTGGGGAAACTGAAAAGCTGGGGAGAGGCTTCGGGTTGGCCAGTGCCGCACCCACCCCCCCAGCGGGACCTGCTCTGCTCCGGAAAAGTGTTTTTCCCAGTTTTTATTCCCAGTTTCCCCCCCTTTTTTCCTCTCCCAA